GGGGGGGGGGGGGGACATTTCTCTGCAGACCACCAAAATTTTCTCGCAGACCACCAGTGGTCCCCAGCCCACTGGTTGGTGACCACTGGTCTAAAACAGCCATGGTGTTGCAGTGGTTAGAATCGGTATTGCAGGCTGACTCTGCTGACTGCCAGCAATTCGATTCTGACCAGTTCAAGGTTGAAACTCAGTCATTCATCTTTCCGAGGTCAGTAAAATGAGGATCCAGATTGTTGGGGGCAACACGCCGACTTAAGAGATGTTGTAAAGCACTATGACGCAGTATCTAAGTCTTAGGTATTATTGCTAAAAGCAATGTCGATGTGCTTTCCCCTTGTCATGCAGTACGGAATGGTCCAGAAAGTGGCAGCAAAATCATGGTGCAGTTCCCACGGTGCCAGTGCAAAGATCTCCCTAAAAGTGATGTGTTGCAAGACAACAAATGGAATTACCTGCGTGGTCCCTTCAAGGAAGTTCAGTGGAACAAAATGGAAGGGCGTAACTTTGTATACAAAATGGAGCTCCTCATGGCCGCATTGACTCCTTGCTCCTAGGCTAAGGACAACAATCCAAGGAGATGATTTTGAGACCGGCGTGTAAGCAAAGTGAGTGAGAACAGCACATACATTCCTGGAAGCAATCTGTTTCTGGTCACTCCATGGATTTCTCTTCAGTGATATTTGATTGCATCTTTTATTGCCTGTGCTGTAGACAGTCTGCCCTGCAAGTTCTGAATATTCAGTTCAACTGTGACAGCTTTTGAAATAATTAGTCACATTACCAACGTTTGATTTTTATTAAATACTTTATTGGAAACTTTGTACAAAGGATAACAGGTTTACATTTATGTTTTGCCTTTAAATGCTATTTAAATTGCCTGGTTACATCTTTGAACAAATGGACTAATAATCCTATTCACAAGACGAATCCAGAATTTTATTTGGGTCAAAACAGTATTTTGCCACAGCTATTTTTAGTTTGGCTTACTCAAGAACAGAAATGGTGGTGTGAAAATTCACTTGTAAGCTTGGGTAAAGTGTTTTCCCTCCCATTTTTACACTTAAAAATGAGTGTAAAAAGTTTACAAACATGCTCAACCAACCTAGGACTAATATCTGCTAATGAAATAAAAATTGATAATATCTGTTTGGCCACAACTTGGTAACAGGAAACTATGATGGAAAATACAAAAATAAATGGAATGTTTAATATTGCCTTCATCAAATATTGGAAAGTTAACAATAGCACAAATTTCCATATAATAATAATCTGTTGGGTGTTTTTATAAATCCATCAGTAGCTCTTTGATGGTAGGGGTCATGCAGGGGTGGAATAGACAGGGTTAACTACCGGTTCGGGATTTACGAGCTTCCCTGCCCACTGCCTGTAAATCGTCATTAGCACACTGCATGCCCAGAAGCAGCCTTTGAAACAGCCCTCTTTTCTTGTTTTTTTAACTGCAGCTGTGCCTGTTCGGCAGCTGAAGTTGAAAAATCAGGAAATAAAGATCAGGTAAGAGCCCAGGTGGGCAAAAACATAAGCAGACATAGAACCGGTTCTATGTCTGCTGCTCTTCAGAGCTACCGGTTCTACAGAGGTGGACAGAACCAGTAGAAACCCACCCCTGGGGTCATGGGAACCTAAAACTATGATAATGTATTTTTAAATATAATTTAATAAAGAACTGCAGTTTTTCTAAAAGCAGTGTGGTCTTCTACTGGCCTAGACGTGGAACTCTCACCTCAAAATTAGGAGGCTGGGCCGTCGATCCTAGGTAGCAGCAGATATTTCTCTCTCGGGCAATGAGTTATTGTCTGCTGCCAACTCTGTAGGCATCAGGAAGGGCATCCGGCCAGTAAATGCTTGCGCTTCGTTCAGTCACCCTGACTTCACCCCGATGCAAGGAAATTACCGGGTCACTTTTTAAAAAGTGTGGGCTTCTATTGTATGAATTCAAGGCTGTTGTAGCTTTGCTTCTGGCATGTTCTCTTGAATCGTAGCCTCTTGATACTATCACTTAGATGTCTTGTGAATGTTTGAGCAAAACTGTGGGAAGTGCAGGTCTTTTTTTGAAACGAGTCCATTATAAATTACAATATGGAAAGGACCGCATTTCTCGAACCTTCTTGTATCACTTTCAGGGCCCTTTGCCTTTTCTGCTTCAGAAAAAGCATTTGACAAAATGGATGTGCCCAGTCTTTTGTGTGCCAACCATGTTTTTCATGCTTTGCTTCTTTTTGAGGTAGAAAACTGATTTGCGCCAATTCTACAGCATTGCACAGCTAACACCCCATTGTTTGAAGCTCGGTCTCTTCAGTTTCGCTTACTGCAAATGAAGGGAGAATCCTGTTGATTAAGACTGTATCAGATGGCAAGGAAGCGGTCAGAAATAAAGATCTACAGTAGTTGGACAGATTGTACACTAACCTCTTCAATATAGTGGGAAAGCATGTAAATTTGTTAGTTAATACACTAACTAAAAATTAGTGAACTAGAGTTGACAGGATTGGCTCTACTCGGTTGCATTCCTTTCCCAATCAGTTCAGATTGAACACTGTCAGGAAGGCATGCATGCTTCATGCTGTTAACTCGTAAAGTATGCCTGTTTCCAAGTTGCCATAAGCAAGGGGGGGGGGGGACCAGAAGTACATTCCACACTTATCTTACAAAGATTTTAGATAGGCTACCGGATTTTCTGCCCGCAATAATCCTTCATTGGAGAGTGTGATTGATGACACCCAGCCTGTGAATGTGCTTCGTTGGAGAATCTGATGTATGACACACCCAGGGGGGAGGGGGGAATTACGTGTGTCAGAGTTGGCTTCAACTGGGATAATGTCGACACGTTGCTCCTAATAAATCTTTTGGATTCTTTTGAAGCTTGGTTCGAGGCTCATGATTTAATTAGGGCAGTTGCCAGAACCCTGACACATGCACACACACACACACACACACAGACACAAAAGTATCTACAGAAACATTTTAAAAGATATTCTCCAAAGCTTAAAAAACGTGAAGGGGAAACTAGCACAACAAAATCCTGCAAGAAGACTTGGGGTTTTCCTTCCCCGGTCCATTAAGTTGTGTTAAAAAGCATTACCTTGGAGTTGCTGCCTCTCTGTTTGCAGAAAGTGCACATATTTATTGCACAGCCATATCAAGCAGATCAGAACAGCGGAAGCAGCGGTCAAAAAGGCAAAGAAGACGACCACAAAATGCAAGTCTTCATAGAGAATTTCTAAGGGAGGGAGAGAGACAATGCAGTGAGGTTTGACCACACAAATGCATCAGCTTCACTTAAGCTGCTAGGAAAATTCCAGACTTCTGTCAGCCTTTTTTTTGCTTTTTCCTCACCTTTCCTCTGTCTTGCAGACACACAACCAAACATACACATTCTACTTTACCCTCTAAGATACACTCAATCTTCTCTCTCTCTCTCTCCATTTTCATTTGCCCAAAATAAGACCTATCCTGAAAATAAGCCCTAGCATGTTTTTACATGTGTGCCTAATATAAGCCCTACCCCCAGTGTAAGCTTTACCCCCAAAATTGTGGCCACAGCACAGGCGCATCATTCGGCCTCCGTTCCACTGCAGCCATGCGCAAGCAGAAGTGGGTCAGCCATGCGTATAATCATACTGGACAGGGCTGTTGGAACCGCTGCCGCGATGCAATGTTATAAATCACCTGGCTGCGAGGGCCCTGGGGTAAGCTAGTGCAAGGCGCATGGGGCAGCTCCACCCCCCGCCCCACCACGAGCAAACAGGAGAAGTGGGCCTCCCATACATGGGGGGGGGAAACACTCTCAGAAAATAAGCCCTAGTGCTTATTTTGGGGCCCAAAAGAAGATAAGTTTTATTTTGGGGGAAACATGCTATGTGCGTGCATGTGTGTATGTGTATAAAATTTAAAAGTGGTGTTGCATTATGAAGTGTTCTCTATGCAAGTTGAAAAGCACATGAGAAAAGAAACAGCAGGAAAAGAGCTAAGCTTGAGTATATGTTGATTCTTGCTGTTTGCTTTACTTCAAGATGTATAGGTTTTGTAGATACAGTCACGGATTTCAGGGTTATAATGTATGTGTCATAAATTCCTGGAAATATCTTGGTCTCTATGTACTTGCCTATGGTCATCTGCAGGTCAAAACATGTAGAATAATGGACAGGATTATAATCAAAATCCTGCTCATGTGTGGAATAGAAATTTCAAATGACCGACTCTCCCACATGTACACATTTCCTGATCTTCATAAAGTCAGTGACAGGGTGTTGTGGTTAGCTAGCAGCAGGTACAGATGGCTGAGGAGACCGAGGACTCTGATGAAGGGCCAGGACCATCAGGGAGTGGACTGTTGCCTTCAGAGATTGTGGGGGCTGGCAGCAGTGATGAGGAGGTTCCCGAGGAGCCTATGCCAAATGCACGAAGGATTGCTCAGAGGAAAGAACAATTACAGCAGCACAGGCGACTCGGGAGTAAAGCTGCAAGGTAATGGCCCCTCCCTCAAGAGGATAAAAGCCAGGTTTGGAAAAGTGTTCTTTGCAGACGGCAAAGAAGCTCTGAAACTCAACTGGTGGACATCTTAGTTCGTGTTTGGAGAATTTTGTAAATTAGTTCTTATCTCTGGGTTTTTGGCAGCCTTGATAAACAACTTGGCAAGGCTCTTTCTTGTCGGAGCTAATTGGTGGAAAGCAGCCTTCAGAACAGAATTTGTTGTTAAATCTTAAAAGGTGGGGGCTGCTGCCTTTGTCTGTGTTTGTTCTTTGGGAACCCGGTTGGGTCAGAACACAGGGATGCCCACAAAATTTAATCAAAAGAGTCAAGAATGGTGTTTGCAACAGGGCAACTAAACCAGAAGACTCTGTACACCAGAAGAAAAAAATAGGGAGTCATCTACAATACAGGGTCCTCAACTTACTACCACAATTGAGCCCAAAACCTTTGTCACTAAGCAAGAGATTTGTTAAATTAATTTTGCCCCATTTTACAACCTTCCTGCCCCGGTTGTTAAGCGAATCACTACAGATGTTAAAACAGTGACATATTTGTCAAGTGAATAAGGCTTCCTCCACTGACGTTGCTTGCCAGGTCGCAAAAGGTCATCACATGACCCTGGGACACTGCAAGTGTCACAAACATGAGTCTGTAGTCAAGTGCCTGAATTCTGATCACAGGATCTTGGGGGTGTTGCGAGAGTTGTAAGTGTGAAAAACGGCCATGTCACTTTTTCCAGTGCCATTGTAACTTGAACGGTCACTAAATGAACTGTTGTAAGGCGAAGACTACCTGTATGCACTGTAACAGCCACTATGAAGAACTGGCAAGCAGAAGACTAGGAGAGAGAATCCATGATAAAATCAGAAAACTCCTTAATTGAACAAACACATAATTGTAACCATAGTTTTAACTGGGAAACTAAGCATCCTAGAAAGCTAAATTAGAAAGAAAAAAAAAAAACGCTAGAGAATTGCTTGAAGGTGAAGACAAATCAGCCATCAACAGGCAGACAGAGATAAACAACATCTACATACCATCCAAAAGAAACCCAAAGGTGCTTTTTCAGGAAGCAACCAGACTTTCTTGATTTTAATTTTTTTTTTTCTTTTGAAGACGTTTCGCTTCTCATCCAAGAAGCTTCTTCACCTCTGACAGGATCCTGTCAGAGGTGAGGAAGCTTCTTGGATGAGAAGCGAAACATCTTCAAAAGAAAAAAAAAACAGAAAGTCCAGTTTGCCTCCTGAAAAAGCATCTTCGGGACAACCATGATCTGGGTGACTGAGAATATTTACCAACATCTAAAAGAAACAGTCAAAAAGCTAAAAAGGAAACAAAACTCCTCACCAGCAATCAACATTCAGATAAGCAGAGATTAACGCCAGAATTAATATTAGGCAAATAAGCTGTAAGTGATAAACAGTAAATCCTATCAAGGAACTGCACAGCTCCAGACGAACAGACAATCTGTGGATCATGGGCCTGTAGCCGCTCCAAACCCAGCACCACCGGAAAATGAGGCACTGCGGCAACGTAAAACACAGTTTCTTCCACATGCTGCCCAATACGCATGCAAAGGGGTTTGGTTGCAGCAACCACAGGTCCCGAACGAAGGGGCCGACCATCAATCGTCTCCACCATTACTGGTGGGGATACCTGTTGCTGAGGAATGAACCACTGCTTGACAAAATTAGTATCCATGAAATTGGCTGTGGCCCCTGAGTCGACTAAAGCTGGGATCTCCACCGCTCCCACACCAGGCACGAACACACTTGCAGCACAAGGTGCTTCACCAATAGCGACTGTGGTGGAGATGTCGAAGATGTCAAAGGCGAGGGTGGCAAGGTTGGTGAAGATGGCGGGCCTATGGACTTTACACCCCGACCTGCAGACCTTGTAGGCCGAGCAATGCTCGTTTCCTGCCACTGCAGGTGTTGCTGCTATGGATGTCTTAACAGGACACTTGGCCGCAAAATGGCCTCGATTGCCACAATAGAGGCATAAACCATCACAACGACGTCTATTCTTTTCCACTTGAGTCAGGCGAGGGCAGCCAGCCCCCAACTGCATGGGTTCCTCCAAAGGCACTTCCACCCAGGGCGCCATCTTGCTGGAAACAGATATGTCTCTGTCTGTCGTCGCACCCGTCGCTGCTGAAGTCTAGCATCGATACGAAGACACAAATGCATGAGCTCCTGAAGGGTGCGAGGGCATTCAGTGCGCGCCAACTCATCCAGAAGCTCCGACGACAAACCCTCCTGGAACTGGTCTAATAGTGCTGCCTCATTCCATTGTACATCCTGAGCAACCACCCGAAAACTAGCAATATAATCCATGAGTGAGCCAAGCCCCTGCTTCAGCTCTCTCAAATGTCTGTTTGCTGTTTGGCTTCGAACAGGGTCCTCAAACATGGCCTGAAACTGACAGCAAAACTCGGCGTAATTGTCCAACACCTGGTTGTGCTGGTCAGCAGAGGCGTCGCCCAACGTGCTGCAGAGCCTGACAAGAAACTAATCAAAAACCCCACCTTATCCCAGTCAGTGGGAAAGTCCTCAGGCCGAAGGCTCATGTAATGTTGGCACTGCCCCAGAAATGCTGGATATTGGGCCAGTGAACCATCATATTTATCTGGCACTGCCACTGGGCATTTTCGGCGTGGCTGGGCAGCTTGCATTTGTGACACCTGTGCAGTCAAAAGAGCCACTTGCTGGGTTAACTGGGCAATCTCTGCTGTGAGCTGATCCATGGTCACCCCACAAAAAGCAAAAATAAGTTAAAGGGGTGGCTGGAGTCAAAATGTGATGACCCGTAGTCTCTCAAAATAACCCAAAACATATATTAAAGTCCGGTAAAGCCTTCAACTTAACTTCACTGTTTTATTAGGCACAGTTTAAACAAAGGTAAATAATGAGGCAAATAGAAATCCAAAACAAACCGCATTGATGAGAGTTCCGCAGCAAGCCAAGATAATTAATTATAAACTCCAGGAAAATAACCGAGAAAAGTCCATGGGAAGATCGCCAGCAAAGATAAGCCTCTTTCATGTTAAACACTAATTGACTCCAGCAATTCTAACTACGCAGTTGAAAACTTATATACATAGCTCCCACCTGCAAGCCACGAGGAGGATCATGGTAATCTCCTCTTGGTAAAGACCTCGCTTTTCCCTGATCCTTTCCTCCCTGTGTGGCCTAGGATGGATAGGGGATGGGCCTGGATCCTCCTCTGACTGCCGGCCTCTGCCCTTCCCCAGCCTCCTCCACCACCTCTGGAGCCACACTCCCACTCCCTGTTGGCTGTTCCTCCTCAGAGGCAGACTCCACCAGGGGCATGACACTGTTGGGGACAATAGGCTGACTCTGTAAACCGCTTAGAGAGGGTTGTAAATGGTATATAAGTCTAAGTGCTGTTGCTATTATGACCATTTTTCACACTTATGACCAAGACAGCATTCCTCATGGTCATGTGATTTATATTTATGACAGTTACAGCATCCTGTCATGTGTTCCCTTTTCGTGACCTGACGAGCAGTCAATGGGGAACCCAGATTCACTTACCAACCGTGTTATTAATTTAACCAACTTTTGTTTAGTGATTCACTTATCCAAAGTCATAAAATGGGGCAAAATTCACAACGCATTTCTCACTTGGCTACATAAAATTGGACTCCGTTGTACGTTGAGGACTGCTTGTGTTTCTAGCTTTTGGGCCTACTAGCTCTCACGCTGAGAACTTGCTTTCAACAGATGGACCTTGAAGTTCTGTTAGAAAAGCAAAGCTCATAACTCTGGGCCCACATCTGCTAAATGGGCCTATATCTGCTAAAACTGGACATCAGACATATTAGAGAAAAGTTGAGGTCCCGTCATTCCATACCATAAACATTCAACAGGATGGTCCCATATAGGATGATTCCCAATTCGTCTCTCACCGTGACTAAGTAATAACCGGAGTCTTTAAAATCCACCTTCAGGAGCTGCAGAGAGCCATTATCATAAATGTTTACTCTGTCTTTGTAACTGCTGGATATATTGGCATAAACACCAGACTTCCATTCGGCTATTTTGGTGGTGCCGCTTGCTGATGTGTGTTTCCACTCAATCACTGGGCTTGTCTCACCGCTGTAGGCCACTGACAGCAAAACGTTCTCGGCCACCGAACTATTGATGTTTGGCTGTGAGACTAGTAAGGATATTTCTCCTCCTTGAGCTGAAAAAAAAAATCAAACACAGGCATTACTGTAAACAAGCTTCACCGGTGGTCCCTGTCAGTGTAATGACCGACAGCAGGGGTATCAAACTCAAGACCCGTGGACCAGATCTGACCCGCAGGGTGCTTAGATCTGGCCCGTGGGACTGCCCTGGGAACAGCGAAGGATCAGCCCATGATGCTTCTGCCAATAAAAACTGACCTCGGGAGGGCCACACGCAGCCCTCCTGAGCTACGTTTTCGGCTGCGATGGCCTCCTGCAACCCTCTGCCAGCAAAAACGGAGCTCAGGAGGGCCGGCCTTCCCGAGCTCCATTTTCACTGACAGAGCACTCAGGCCGCTACAGGCGCCCCCGACAGGAGTGATATTGAGTTGGCCACGCCCACCCTGGCCACACCTACCCCCACCCCCACGGTCAAACAGAACCCTGTTACGCCCCTCAATGAAATCAAGTTTGACACCCCTGGCCAACAGTATTTATGTTTTTCCCATTTTTTTTTTGGACTGACGGGCCCATCTCGTATCCCTTGAACCGTGGCATAAAAATACCTACAAATCGTTTTTAAATACAGGTAGTATTTAAATACGGCTAGTGCTCAACTTACGATCACAAAATTTACAAGCCCCAGATTTCTGTTTCAAAGCAAGTCAGTTTAGTTTTGAGTGTGAAAACTATAGTCATAAATCACTTTTTTCAGTGCCACGATAATGTTGAACGGCCACTAAATGAATGATGGTTAACTCAAGAAGTACCTGTACTATGTCTTCCAGTCATAACCTTCATTTTCTTCTCAACTTGCTATGGAGAAAATAGAACATCATCTTTATCAGTTCCAGTTTTACAGTAATCTTTCTTTTTCTCAGAATTGTTGCTGTGGATTTGATCTACAATGCTTCCTTGATGACCCAGTATCAGATCTATGGAGATTCTCAGTCATCCAGGTCATGGTTGTCCCAAACGTGCTTTTCAAGAGGCATTTTGGACTTCTGGTTTTTCTTTGAAGACGTTTCGCTTCTCATCCAAGAAGCTTCTTCAGAGTTTCTTCAGAGCTGAAGAAGCTTCTTGGATGAGAAGCGAAATGTCTTCAAAGAAAAACCAGAAAGTCCAGTTGCCTCTTGAAAAAGCACCTTTGGGACACCTAGTATCAGGGTTTCTCAATCTGAGCAACCTTAAGATGGACAGGCTTACATTCCCAGAATTCCCTAGCCACCATGCTGTCTAGGGAATCGTGGGGGGAATGGGATCACAGCCAACTCGCCATGGCCAACTCGCACAGTCAACTCACCACATGGCCAATTCATTGCGGTCAACTCGCCATGGCCAACTTACTGCAGGACAACTGGACAACTTGCCACAGGACAACTTACTGCAAGACAATTCAAAAATTCAATTCAATTAAAAAATCAAAAAGAGGGCTGTGAAAATACCTACAGACCCCTCACATCCCGGACATAAACTGTTTCAACTCCTTCCCTCAAAACTACGCTATAGAGCACTGCACACCAGAACAACTAGACACAAGGACAGTTTTTTCCTGAATGCCATCACTCTGCTAAACAAATAATTTCCTCAACACTGTCCAACTATTTACAAAGTCTGCACTATTACTATTAATCTTCTAATCGCTCCTTATCACCCATCCCCTCCCACTTGTGACTGTATGGCTGTAACGTTGTCGCTTGTATCCTTACACTTTATATTGACTATTTCCTAGTACGATTTGATTGCTTATTGTACCCTACTATTATTAAATGTTGTACCTTATGATTCTTGACTCTTGACGAATGTATCTTTTCTTTTATGTATACTGATAGCATTTGTACCAAGACAAATTCCTTGTGTGTCCAATCACACAAATTCCTTGTGTGTCCAATCACACTTGGCCAATAAAAAAGAATTCTGATTCTCTAAATTATTTAAAATTATTTAAAAAAATTAATTTTGATCATTCACATTTTATTTTGTCCCTCCTTTGGCATTCTTTCTTTAATGATTCTATTAAACTATGTCTTTGATATTAGTGTGATTCTTGTCCTGCGATGAGTTGGCCATGGCCAGTTGGCTGCAGTGAGTTGGGCGTGGCAAGTTGTTGTAGACCCACTGTGGGAGTGAAAATGTCAGCCTTCAAGATCTTTTCTACTTTTCTATTGCTCTCTACTGCTTTGCATCTTTCGGCTGCCATGAGTAACGGGGGGAGGAGGGATTGCATCTTGTGGGAAGAGAACTGGAGGTGTTACATTCTTGTCTTGTATAAATGAGGAGTTGGGGG